CTTGGGCTGCAGGGCAGGGACTATGGCAGCTCTTGCGATCACGGGTTTACAAAGCTTGCTCAAGTTCCGATTTACTGCTACATTACATGTAGCTTGACAGACATGAGCGGTGGTCTTAGTATCAGTAGCACGTGTAGGTAGTGGTGAATGTAGTGGCAGGTAGGTGAGCAGGCTGTAGCTGCAATAGCAAGTCGTCGTCGTCGTCGTAGCAGGATGAGGAGGATGAGGAGGAGGAGGATCAGCAGCTGCAGCAGCAGCAGCCCACTTAGTGAGACTTACAGGTTTCCGGTTTTGCCCGAGCCAGGACCCGCGTCTGCTTCCGCATCTGCACGCCCTGGAGAAGCTTCATCAAGCATTTGATCCATCGGCTTTAAATGCCGACGTCAGGATTGCTCCAGCTTGTAACATCTCTTAACTGAAGCCTACAGAAACTCAGGCATAAAAAGAGCTCGATGAGGCTCAGTGCGTCTTCGACCGGCTGCGGGTTGCCGCGCCAGTCAGCAATGATGGGACCTTGGGCTTCAAAACACCAACGCCCGTCATACAGCTTGACTTGAAGCATTCAGCGGCTGCCTCCAACCATCGAAAGCCTTCCAGCGACCACCTCTCAGATTGCTCATGTGCTCAGGGCCACACCGAGTGACCTGGTTCAGAGTGGCAACGAACATCACTTTATGTTGCACTCGTGGCACCTCAAGAACACATCTGATCAAGAGCCTTCAGAGGCGTAGCGCGCACGTCTGCTGCCGCCCTGCGAGCTGCAAAGGCCGCAAGAAGCTCTCAACCAGCCATCTCAGCAACCGCAGCAACCACAGTCGGAATGATGTCTTCTGGCAGAGATCACAGATATGATGCCTGGACAGCTGCAACACAACATCTTCGCCTTCTACCTGTCTGAGCATCATGGTTCGTAGCCGATCTCCGGCCTTCTCAACCCCACTCGGTCTCTCTCTTGATCGCCACGACTCTCACTGTCTTCCACTTGTCTTGGTATTGCCCTTCTGGCCTGGATTTCTATGAATGCTCGCATTACGTCGAAGTGAACCACAGCATCTCTTCATAAACTTGCACTGACATCGCCTCTTGCACGCGGATCTCAAAGACCAAACATCCAACGCTGAAAGCACTTCAGATCTGACAATGCATTCGGACTCGTCCTGTCGAAGCCCACCCATGCAAACAGTCTTCGCCTGGAGGGCATGATACTTCCAGCAGCTTCGAAAATAAGTGGTGTGCTATGTGAACTTATCCAACAAGCCAAAGGGCACCCGTGTCGCCGAATAGGACTTGCTCAGCATCAATGGATCATTCATGAGGGCGCTGCGTGATCCACGAGGGATGAAGAAGTTCTGGATCGTCGCCTGGATATCCAACTGGGAAAAGCTGTTACCACCCTCATTCCGGCACAACTCCAAAACTCCCTGCAGGCCTAGAAGCCATCAGGAAACAGACAGGTACGTGTAGCACCCTGCCCTAGAAGGCCCTGCAGCCTAACCTTTCCGGGATCCCGGCAGGCGTGTCTCCGCTTCCTCTAAGCTGCCTCACCAAACGGATAGCTCCACGAAGCCGAGCAAAAAAGACTTGGTATGGTAGGGATGGTATACAGACGTTGGAACGAACTGTACTGGCAGCAACGTCGCGCCTGTGCTCCTGCACTAGTTCAGCATTTCTGCCACCCAACTCTAATCACATATGTTACACACTTCTGGCCACCAACGATGAGAACGGTAATCCTTGCATTTCCTAACAATAACGAATGCCAGGAAGGATCTTGGGCAAGAACGCGACGACACTGATTACTTTCTCATCCATGCCAAAGTACGACCCGATGATAGATGCGCGACTCGCACGAAACCTAGGCAAAGCTTCTCAGGCTAGGTAGCAGGCACTTTGGTCACCATGGTTTGATTTAGGGTCCAAGGTGAAGCTGAACGACGTCGGCCTGAAATCTGTCGGCAGGGCAGCGTCTGCGCTGACGCGATCGAGGTAGCGACACTGAGAGCGCCTCCAAGTCAAAACTATGAAAAGCTATATATTATATATTACATATTATATATTATATATTATATACTATATACTATATATGATACATTATATATCATTGTATCAATGATGCGGTTTTGACATGCCACATCTTGCGAATCTCAAGTAGGTCTCGCCAAGGCTTCATGTGCAGGCATATCTGCGAGTGATGTGCCCAACAACCACCACCCCCGTCCGACAAGCCGAACCCGTGCAACAGAAGACAGCTCAGCACGAAGCGAAGCAACCTTGCAGGCCCTCTGCCCTGCACCAGCCCGCACATGTTGCAACGTAACCGCGGCACCCCACCTCGCAAAGCAAATCCACCCAGAAATCTCGGCTAGTCCACCCAATTTGTTGCCATTGCTCAATTCCCTCATGCGTTCCTGAGCTGCCACTCCGCGAGATGCGAGGCTGGTGAAAGTCCTCTGACTCACAGAGCTGCGGCGACCTGAGTATGGTGGCGAGTAGGCTTTTTCTAGGGCCTTTCTAAGGAATGCGTTCCCGCCAGTTTTAAATTGCCTTAAATAGCCCCTCCAGCTCCGTAGCATCTTCATCTTCATCATCAACAACAACATCAGCAGCAGCAGCAGCACAACACTCGCAAGAAATTGACTCCGTGTGGTTTTCGTCAGTGTCACCACGACCATTGGCCATCGTTGTCAAATCTATGACCCAATGGTTGCGGCTGCGCTTGCCACTTGCAGGCCAAGAATCCACGAGAACTTCTTGATGCTGGTGGGGCTGGCCTTAATTTGCTTTTTGGAAGGGTGTTGTGAGTCCCAAGCGGCTTAACCTCACGTGACAACAGCAATGCAACTTTGCACCTACAAGTAGTGGCAGTGTGGGTTCAGGCCATGGTTCTGTCATAGCCTGCTGTAACCTGCTTGTGAAGGGCTGTAGCCTTTCCGCCACCCCAGGCGCTCAGCGTCGAACTCTGCCATCGCAGGAGGATGGCCGTCTGCTAAGGCAGCTTTTCCTGTGGCTGACGCTTCCAAGCCCTCACTCGTCGCAGATGCCCTTGCGCCCTTGTGCTTCCATTCGTTCATGGATACTCGTTGAGCTGCAGATGCTGTCATCCACGGGCACGGAGCTCAAGACCCGCCCGAATTTGTGGCGAGCTATTCGACTAGCACCTCGAGGAGTTCACGGAAGGAGCCTTGGATTCAAAAGATGTTTGCCCAGTTGGCTTTACACAAATCTTCTCATGCTGTCACTAAAACTGCTCCCAGGTTCGGATGAACCCTTCATCGGACTTGAAGCACAACACTCTGCAATGCGAACAGAATCGAAGGAATGGGAATGGCTTTCTGCACCCATCCTGCGATGAGGCGAGGCTGGCACCTGCTCGGCGCTTGCGGAAGATCTTCAGTTAGGATCTCGAGAGTCTGTTGGTGGCGATGCATGAGGGTCTTCGGGCGCCGTTTACAAACTGGTCGCTGACGGATAAGAAGCGGACTGCAGCCCTTGGACGTTTATCTCATTCTTATACGTCCCAACCCCAAACCTCAGGAACACTACATATGCATGTGGTGGGCGTGAGCTGAGTTGCCGACACAAATCTTCGGCGAGTCCTCGAAAGCTACGCAGACCTTGGCCGGCGGACCAGATTTTTGCAAGAGGCCGACATGGCGAGAACCACGTCGCACCCGAGCAATTCTCTTTCGGTATCTTTCGATGCCGGCAAACAGTCTTGTTCTCCCAATCGAAAAGCTCTAGGAAACGAAGTGTCGACACTTGCCAGGTTCCATGCAGAACAGTCATTCACAATCACATGTCAAATATTTCCACAGTGTCATTTAGAAGCAGGCTTTTCTCCATGAGCCATCACCTTCGCGACAGAATGCAACCTGCCGGCATGATTCCGGCATGTAAATCGATATTGTGGGCACACGGTACAGTCACCATGGTGGCGCTGGCGAAGCGCGATCTCTTGAAAGCCCGGCCCATGTCTGCATCCGAAAAAGGAGGAGAAGACAAAAGGCATCAAACTTTTGACCAACTTGGCTGGGCCAGGTTTGCGAAGGTTGTCCGGACCCCGGGCCGTGAGCCGGCAGCCGGACTGTTATGAGAGGATGTCACGCGGCCGAACGCTCGTTCCATTGGCCAAGGTCGTTCACAAGGAGCGCGGCCAGCCCGCTGATGGCATCGTTTCTGTTTCATCTTCATGTCAAGAAGAGGCGGGACACATCGTAGGCTGCAGCGTAATATGTAGGGCTGTCATCACGTAGGACGTAGGCCATGCTTCAGCACAAAGACCCGGAGATTCCTGCAGCGGGACTAACACAAGGACAGCACATTGCGGGCATGGTAATTCCCGCTGAAGCTTGTTGCGGCTACCGGTGCTGTTGCGATTGACGTTGTTAGCGTTGTTGCTACCATTAATCTTGTATCTGCTGATCTTATTGTCGCTGTCTTCGTCCATGTTGCTGCTGCCATGTCCTTGTTGTTATGAATACAACTGGAGCTGGTGCTCTTGCTGTTGCTGCTGTTGCCGCTGTTGTTGGTGTTGGTGTTGGTGTTG